AAAATACATGTAATCTAGACAACTAGTATAAACGGAATTTTACGGGTTACCTCTTGAAGCATGAACAAAGCTCTTGTATCATGTGAGCCTCCAATTACACGCGTCTCAATGGAACCTCCACCACCCGCACAATCACGATTCTCGAACGTTCCGCGGTCTTCTACTGTGTTACCCAAATAATATTCGGAAATAACAATTTCGTGTGGGCGAATTTTTCTAGGAAAATAGGATGAAAATTTCGGCCACCTTGTTCTCTTCCTCTGGGTGAAAAATCTTATGTATTTATAGCATAAGTTTTAAGGGTTAAAACCCTTTTTCAAAATCTGTTGGGTTTTCTTTTCCACCCGGAAAAGGATTCTTTTATTTTCTACTATTTAGGCACAACATGGACCACATAATTTAATTAACAAGGCTTCCAATTATGAAATTAATTTGTAATTTTCGAAATTAATATCTACCATAATTAGTTACGAATTATTCTACTAAAACTTCGTAATTGAACTCCTTATTCAATTTCGAAATTAATCCATTAAATCTTATTTAACTTTCCGTATTAAGATCCAAATACTAATCAATTAAATTAAATTACTAACGATTTAATTTATTGATTATTTCCTTTAGACTTTCGCTTAACTTATTTCATGTGTTGGATACAAAATCTACCGGTCGGGTTTACACATGAAAACTTATAAGCTTTCATAAAGGTGTAACATCAATCTCTAAACCGAGACATGAATTCCATCAACTAATTATTATTTCGCCAATGTACATTATTATTATCCAATTTACCAGGCATATTGACCGACGAAAGAATCTCGCCTTTTAATAAATAAAAATAATAATAATATATACAACTAATAATAATTATATCAAGATTAAGAGTATAAGTACATTTAATAGCGAGAGAATTTATTTTATTAAGTAATTATATAATACTTATCTCTACTTGGTCCGTTCAATACATACAAAATGTACTAGCACAAAAAGTTGGAATTAAATCATTCTCATAATCAGGATAAATTATATTTAATCTTGTGTTACAATCATCTATGATGGTTTGTTCAATTCCATCAAGAGATTGTGAACTCAAACTTTATACTTATAAGAACCGATGATTTAATTTTCCGTGTATAAGCTAAACTCTATACACTAAGGGTATGTTTGGTATGAAGGAAAACATTTCCAGAAAATATTTTTCAATTTTTTCATGTTTGGTTGGTTTAAATATTTTGGAAAATATTTTCCTTATGAACTCATTTTCCTCCAATTGGAGGAAAATGTTTTCCTTATCAAGAAAAGGGAAACATTTTCCAAAACTCATTCTCAACCTTCCCCACCCTATTTCCCACCCTCACCAACCCACCCCACACANAATATTTTTTTTATATATTAGTTTTTTCATCTTTCGGTTTACATGTTCGAAATTTTACAAGTTCCAAAGTTATGAGTTCAGAGGTTTATGTGTTTGGAAGTTTACGCGTACCAAACACCGGAAAATGAATAAGATTACTACTTATTTTCCAATAAAATATTTTCCATTATACCAAACACACCCTAAATCATCTACTATATAAGCAAAGGACACATACTAATATATGATCTATTTAAAACTTTATTAAAATTGAATAAATAATTGTTCCATAATAAATACTATATCCAAACCAAACTCATGGTTAATAGCATATATCTCAACAATCTCCCACTTAGACTTTTAACTATGACAATTATTAGAATATACTATATTCAAATGCATGGTTAATAGTATATGCCCCAACAATTGTTGCGTCATACTTCTTCTTGTTGTGTTAATTAGAGGCCTTCGGTTAAGTAGAAGTGCATTGTATCCTTGAGAGGGCAAAAACAAAGGCAGAAACAAAGAAGGCAAGAGAAACACATAATGTTACAACCAATTTTGGTTTTGAAAGTTTGATCATATTCGTTTGCCATTTAATCTAGTCTTCTTTGCTGAGGAAACAGACTGATCGATTAACAACAAAGTAAATACAAATTTGAAAGCTCTACTAGCTAACGTTGTTATTACTCCATATGTTAAGCGTCAGCTTAAAATAACCCCTCAAATTTTGATAAGCTGCTATAAAAGGTATAGCAACATTAGCTCTCCTGAAACTTGTTCACCTCCAGGAAAGCTAACTCGAAGTTTGTGAATATACTAGTTGTGGTTCTGGATTCAAGTCTCACAACCACATCATGATCAAAGAATTCTCACTAGCTTCGCAGGGAACAAAATTGTGTGATCTCGCACATGAAGGGACAAGTTAAACACGTAAATGAATAGATAAAAGTATCCTAACAGCTTAAGATTTCACACGATATTCAACAGAAACAATGTAATGAATTCCAACCTCGGTCAGTGCTTCCAGTCACACAGCCTCAGAGACTATAGGAGAAGGGAAACACGGGGAGATTGTGGAAGCACGAGGAGATGAGGTGGAACATACAAGTCTGATAATATACCAAACATTACAACAGCCAGTCTAATGGAAATGTACAAAGTGTGATGGCGCTAGAATAACACATAGAACACAAACAAAAAAAACGACATGGACACGTAGCGGGGCATGGAATATATATACACCAGCAGTTCACAGCCACTGTTCTTTAAAGCAGACATTATACCCCTTGGAATTGGCTCTTCTCAATGAAATTTTTGCATTGTCCACTGATAGAGGGGAATCAGGATTAGGGGAAAGTGAATTCCAAGCTTCCAGACCTGCAGATGGACATTTCAGGATCCCTTTTATAGGCATTTTTGTTAAATAGGCTGCCTCCTTGGAATCACCATTTGCCAAATGGACTGCTGAATCATCATTTTCCAAACAGACTAAAGCTTCCTCTTTGGGTTCATCATTTGCACTAATCTCTTTGGCCTTGGCATAAGCAGAATCATCACCTGACTTATCGTCACTATCTTTGACTAGGACAAGATCCTCACCAGAACCAAATTCACCTCCATTTAAAGGAGGAGAGACGTCATCTAATTTATACTCGCTACCTTTGCCTTGGACACGATCATCAACCATGGTGTCTTCTTTATCATCCCAAAAATCAGCAGAATCGTCACAGAAGGTAAACTCTGCAATTTTAGCTTGTATTAAGTCATTACCATTGGTACCTTCTTTATGTTTGTTTACAGCGTCAACAAGATGATCTTCTTCCTCTGATGATGTCCGAACAAGCACATCTGTACCTCTTTGCAATGAAAGATTCTTGTCTCCCTTTTTCCCTTTAGGCAATTTGAACCAACCTTCACTCAACAAAGGCAGAGAAGACAGATTCTTAAGAAATGAGGTCTTCTTTGGAACATCTGCCAATTTTTTCTTATCTTTTGTAGTGAATAATGACATGGAAATCACAGTGGATATGAAAAGTTGACATATAGCGCATTTAATTTGCTCGTGTCTCTCAAAGGATGAAGCCTCTGTAAGACCTATCATTCTCTTGATCCCAAGAACTTTGCGCGCCAATTCTCCTAATTCACACCGCTTATATTTGGGATTGTTGAAAAACTTGGTGGCCAGGTAGCCAATGTCTACTTTATCTTTAGTCAACCCTAATTCTTCAAATGGGAACAAATCTTTCTTTTCTGGAATTCCAAAACCAACAAAACGGATCCTCTCATCCGTAAGGAATTTTAGGACAGGATCAGGTAGTTGTTCTCCAGAATGGAACCTCAGGATCAGACAACCTACTCCGAAACAAAAGAGAACCAAAATTATGGAGGGATCACGAGGGTGGCGCATGACATCTAGGCCAACAACAGGCGGCCGTACCCAAATCTTACCTTCTGGAAAAAGAAAATCAACTGTGCATAAAGATTCAAACTCTTTGGCCTTAAAGGTAATGCCTTCTAGTTTAACCTCAAATCTATTAGTTCTCAAATATACAGTACCAGCCATAGGTTTGTTTGAAGAATGAGATGATCCTAGTATTGTTGGGTTGGCATGAATAGATGGAGAAAAGATTAGCAAAAGGATGAGTGCCCCATAACAGATGCTAGAGAAAGGAACAACTCCCCAATGAAAATGGGATTTGACCCAATATTGCAGGGCAACTGAGACAAAAGACTGGCAAGAGGTACTTGAAAATGTCTTCAAAATGATATTCAAAACTACAAGAGAATAAGAGGGATAAAAGGAAGGAAGATTAGTGGATTAACATTAAAATTGGATGGTTCTGCAAAAATATATGACAGTTGGAGGGCAAGCCTTGTGTTTGTTAGTTATGAGTACTTTACATCCACCAAATCCTTAGACTTCACCATGGCAGATATTGATCAACAGTTTCAAGCATTTTGCAGCTATACACAACTTGAGCAATTTGAGATAGAGTTTAACTAATTGGATTAATATCTGTGCCACTAAAATAAGAGAATGCCAGTCCTGACTTTAAGGAGAACCCTAAATGATTTACATTAGTGTGAAAAATGCAGATTTACCATTATTTGTATTTTCTACATTTTAATTGGTACATTGTAAAACTCACTAAACACTTCTATACAATTAAAAGCATAAGGACATAAATATAGTGTGACTAATCCATATGGTAAATATGCACAAGCTACCCGTGACTAATCCATTAATATGATTATTTACCCACAAAATGGATTCAAATACTATGGATATAATCATCGAAATAAAATACCCAATGTCTACACTCATGTCATAGGTATCCATCACGGAAATCATTTGGTTTACACTAATGTAAATCATTTAGGGTTCTCCAAAAGTGCCCTTAGCTTTTTCACGGAAATGTGAGTATATTAAGTAATCCAATATAATTTGATAGGGAAAGGAAAAAAAAGCAATACGAAGGAAGTTCAGTGCAGATCAGCACCTTCAATAAAATGAACATTTCCACATATTTCACCACCAATAAAATAAATCTGCCTGACTGCCTGAGTATTATCTAACCTCTCATAACTACACACACACATATAAACACATGTTCATAAACATACATTAAAAAAATTAAGACATCAATTTGGCAAAGAAACACTGGTATTTTCATTAAAATACTTTTAATTCGACTACATATCCAGAATTGAGAAAATTCTGGACCAAAATACACTGCAAAGCCTAGAAACCCGTCTACCATATACTCAATTACAAGTTACCATAGCTACCGTAGATTCACACTTTATGCCCTCTCACCCCTAATTCTCCTAGCAAGCTGAATATCCTTAGGCATAATAGTAACCCTCTTAGCATGAATAGCACACAAATTTGTGTCCTCAAACAAACCAACGAGATAAGCCTCAGCAGCTTCCTGAAGCGCAGCCACAGCCGAACTCTGGAAACGGAGATCGGTCTTGAAGTCCTGAGCTATCTCACGAACCAAACGCTGGAACGGGAGCTTACGGATCAAAAGCTCAGTTGATTTCTGGTACTTGCGGATCTCACGAAGCGCCACAGTCCCTGGCCTGAATCTGTGAGGCTTCTTCACTCCTCCGGTAGCCGGAGCTGACTTTCTGGCAGCTTTTGTGGCTAATTGCTTTCTCGGAGCTTTCCCTCCGGTGGATTTTCGGGCGGTTTGCTTTGTACGAGCCATTTGGGATTTAGGGCTGAAAGGATTTGGATGAAAGAGTGATTGGGTTTTTGAAGGATTTTGAATTTAGAACATAATGGAATGGGAGGGAGAGGAGGGGGAATTTAAAGAAATTTGAGGGGAAAAAGAGATCTGATCTTGGCCGTTGATAGATCGAAATTTAATTGGACGGACAAGATTTCTGAAGTGATGGTGTAGTGGATCGATGACGTGGAGGAATGAAAAGGTGATCGTGTGCGTTGGTTTATAATTGGATGGGTGTGTTATCGACGGTTCTGATTGGTTTTTTCCTTTTTTAAGTTGCGGATCGATGACGTGGAGTGTTTGGTGATTCGGGGATAGGTGTGATAATCAGGCACGTCAATTCTGTAACCTCTACGGTTCAGATTGCATTGCGAGGGGTTTCGGAATCGATGACGTGGAAGATCATTCTGATACCCGACTCTCTTATGTATGTTACTCCTAATCGGTTTTGTTAGCTAATCCACGAATATTAACTAGAGATTTTGAAAAGGAACATCACCACCAATCAATTTTTTTTTTTTGGCAAAATACGAAAGTCGAATAAAATTAATTGCATATGTTAGCCAAAATATATGTATAAAATAAGTATATTCCTACTATTAATAAGAGGGAGTGAGAGTTGCCTCCGGAAAAATTTGAGCTGCATCCGGATACAATTTGGGTCATAAGGGTACTTCTGTAATTCTGATTAAATGGAGCAATAATATTGGTTGAAAAAATTGATTAATGTAGCTCCCTTAGAAATTTTTGAACAAGTTGACCGATTTACCTTTGCTCCATATCCCACGTGATCATAACACGCGTAAGGTTCATAAATTATAAATGGACCCTACAGTTCAGTGCATAGTTCAACATTGTCTGCTACGTTTCACATAGCTCAATTACGTGAACCAATGAGAATAGATGGGCCTGCTTTTGTTGCAAATCCATTGAGCAAAGTTCATTTGTAGCCATTAAGGCCAAACTTATATCACCTGATAGCCACAAAATAATCACATACAAACCATAGCCTAAAAACAATAATAAGGCTAGCAACTGAAAAACTTGAAACCATACGCTCAACGCAAACCAAAAGAAAATCACTCCTAAAGGATTTTGTATCCTAAATTTACGCCTTCAGTATGGAATCTTCAACCCCCAAACAGTATAAAAGTCGCCCAATTATTCACATTGTCAAAAAAATTTAGGATTTCTAAAGAGTAAACCCATAGCAGAGCTCCAAAAAATTCATGCTGAAATTCAAAGTTTTTGCACAATTGTGGCCTACAATCAGCTTAATAGAGTTGAGATTTCGTTCTTAAATTGTGAAATTGATACAAAATCGATAAACCCAACTAATGTCTATGGAGGTTGTGAATGTTGGAACTACTATTCCAATTTTAATTTCGATTTTACTTCAACATAGTGGTGAGTGTGTAATTGAGAGTAAATTTGTTAATTTCCTTGTTAATGGCGTGCTGATCAATTCGGACCGTAGCTATGAGTATTATGTTAATGAGATATACAAGCAATTGGGTAGAGATTCGATTACAAGTGCGATAGAGATAAAATATACAGTGAATGATGGCTATATAGCAATTCCAATATACAATGATATGAATGTGCACTTGTATATGGAGATGAAAAAGAAAAATCTGAATATCACTGAACATCCATTATGCATAACGTTGAAAACTGTGTATTCAAGTGTTGAATGCTCATATTCAAGTTCATACTTGGGTGGTAACTTACTCGCAACAACTTCAGCTGGTTTACAATGTCAGAACGTAGAAGAAGTACACGAAACTAATATTGTTGAGATGATGGATAATCATGGAAAAGAAGTCAAAATTGAGATAATAAAGGGAATTTGCATAATAGACAATCCATAACATGAAAAATTTGCGGATGGTCAATTGTATTGGGACAAAGATACACTCATTAATGTAATAAAGTATTACGCAATACGAAAAAAATATCAATTTATAGTGGATAGATCATCTACAACAAAGTATGATTTCTACGTATGAGATTTTACTTCTATGTAATCTTGTGTATACTGCTTGTATAAAAAATATATAACTATTGTATAATGAGATTGCATATGTATATTGCTTATTTATTTGAGACACAAGTGTAAATATCTGAAGAAGTGCATTATCATAACACTGTATTTTAAATAGGTATTGTCTTACATGCGTGGATGAAAGTTGTAAATGGAGTCTTACATCTTCAAGTCTACACAAATCAAATGTCTTCAAGGTTAGAAGGTTCAATGATATTCACACTTGCCCAGAGACGAGTAGACTATTTTCACAACATCATGCTACTTCGTCAGCCATTGCAAAAATGATTTGCAATAAATATGTCAATCCAAAAATAATCTACACTCCGACAGACATCATGAGCGATATGAAACAACAATATGAGATTAATATGAGTTACGTAAAAGCTTATAGAACAAAAGAAAAGGCGCTTGAACTGCTAAGAGGGATACCACACGAATCTTATAGTAAACTGTCGGGTCACTTGCATATGATAAATATGACAAATCCTGGTTATGTCACAATGTTACATAAATCAGAGGACGGGCGCTTCATGTATGTTTTTGTCGCACTAAATGCATCAATCATAGTATGGAAATACGGCTACCATATTGTAGTGGTTGACGAGACATTCCTTAAATCATCACACAGGGGGACAATGTTAACAGCTAGCGCACAAGATGCGGCAGGTGAATATATCGCAGTCTTGTATAATAATTATATTTGGTATAGATAGCTGCTATATGCGTATAACAAAAATAACATGTAGATGCTTTCTTATTTGCTTAACCAGGTAAAAAAATTTCACTAGCATATGGTGTTGTCGATTCTGAAAATAATGCTTCCTGGGAATGATTTTTTGAAATGTTTAGACAGCCTTTTGGGAAAAGGGAAAGGATGTGCATCGTATCTGATCGTCATGCAAACATATTGAGGGGTACTTCGATTGTGTATCCAGAGGTATCTCACTGTGTATGCATTTTCCATCTTTGGAATAACATAAAGAAGTAGTTCAAGAAAAACCATGACCGACTGAGGGAAGTACTTTTTGCAATGGCCATAGCATACAAAATTGAAGATTATAATCGCCTCATGCAAGATATGGACAACATTGATAAGAGGGTAAGGGGTTACCTATTCCAAATTGGTTATGAAAAGTGGTCCATAGCGCATTCCACTATTAATAGATCCATGGTGATGACTTCAAATATTTTTGAGTCACTCAATGCAAGAAACGGAGAGGCAAGAGAGCTACCAATCATAAGTTTACTAGATTACATGATGAATTTGGTTATGGAATGGAATAATACAAATAGAATAACTGCAATGAGTACATTTACTGGACTAGGAAAAAAATATAACGAAGTACTTAAGGAAAATAGCAGTTTGTTGCAGAAGATGACGGTAAATATTCTTTTATCATGTCTTACTTCATACGCCTGAATTACATACTTTGACAATAATGCATTAATACTTTTCATATCTATGTTTTACTAATGATATCTATTTAAATTTAGGTGAGGCCTTCAACTGATTATATATATGTAGTAATGGATGTTGAACAAAGGTGAAACATAGTCTGCATGCAAAAAAAGGAATGCTCGTGCAAACGATTTCAAATGGATGAGATTCCTTGTCCTCATGCTATGGCAGTATTGGACTACACACGTATAGAAACACCCAAAATATTGTTTTGCCTATTACACCAAGGAATACTTCAAGAAGACATATGAAGTGCCAGTTAATCCACTTCCAGATGAAAATACATGGGACCTTCCAACAGAGGTGTTAGATAATGTGGTCCTATCACCAATAGTGAAGGGCAAATCAGGAAGACCGACGAAGTCACGACACAATGGACTTTATAAATATCTGTATACTGAAACAATTATCTATGGATTGTGCGGAAAACAAGGACACAACAGAAAAACATGTAGAAATGCTCGAGACAACTAGTAGATAAATGTTTTCCTTGTGAATGTTACAGTTAGAATATTGGAAAAATAATGAGATTTGCAATCACGTTTTCTCTGATGTATGAATAAAGATACTACTTTTTGTCGTAATTAAAGTATTGGTAGAAGTTTTATTCCAAATACTATTATGGATGTTATTATATAGATGTCAATATATAAAATATATACAAAAATGATTGTCACTATAAAAAAAAATATAAAATAGACTGTCACTATACAATTTATATGCAATAGTCTGTCACTATACAAAAAATATACAAAATAAATTATCGTTATACAAAAAATATATAAAATAGATGTCACTATATAAAATATATACAAAAAAAGACTGTCACTATACAAAAAATATACAAAATAGATATCACTATATAAAATATATACAAAAAAACGGTTAGTATACAAAATAGATGTCACTATACAAAATATATACAAAGAAGACTGTTACTATACAAAATAGATTGTCGCTATACAATTTATATACATTTTAGCTGCCCCAGAAACTTCATTCACAAAACTTCCTACAACAACTTAGCAACACTAGCTAAATTTGCAAAACCAATCGAAACATATTAAAATTGTATAAATTACAAAACCAAAACTGTAGAAAAGTCAAAACTACACAAAATCTGAAACTTTCAAAATCTCACTATTAATTGAAAACAAACAAGTCGCAATTAAAAGTAATATTCAACATTAGCATTTCAAACATATTGTTCAAAAATATCCCAAACAAAAAGGATAAAACGTGATATAGGTATGCAACTGTATCCAATCATAAGACAATATCATAACCAAACTACTTCATCTTAAAACTACATGTCAATTTTCCGCTAAACTATCCCAAACTACTTCATCTTGCCCTTCGACTTGCCCTTTTTCTTGATATCCTTCAAAGTTTCGTCATCACTAACGACAAGCGTCTTGACCTTTTTCTTCTTATTCTTTAAAGCCTTGTCATCACCAACGTCATGCGACTTGCCCTTTTCTTGTTATCCTTTTTTTGTCAGATCATTCAATCTATCAGTAGAATCGTCATCACTAACTGCAT